GTCGGCTCGTGGAGAAAAACAACTTAAAGGAAGGACGGGTGATGAACCAGATCTATTACGCCTTTAATCTTGAGGTAGTCTCACTCATCAGTTCTTAATTAATGTATTGTCTGTCCAGCCCAAAGGCAAAAAAAAAAAAAAATGAAAGAAAGGAAAGAGATGGTAGAGGTCCCAATGTCCCATAACCCATGTGAACGCCTTTGCATGTATCCTCTTATCTGTTTCCTCCCGTGTGACCCTCACATCACCTCATACTGTTTTATTCAATAATACATGGCTTCTCATATTAATTAATTGCTATTTCATCACACGATTATTACATTCTACACAGACAATGATGGAGTTTCTTTAGAATCTTGGAATTTAAATGGTTGAAAGTGAAGTAAAAGATCATGGGACTGCCGACTGTGGGTAAAGATAATTTTGGGACGAAATGGACACTTTCAAAGAAACCCATTCTGTGCGTCATTTGCCTTGGATCACCGTCGGCTTGTACTTGCCACATGCAATTCATCAGATTCAGTCGCACATTTGAATGTCCTTTAGTTGCTGGGATGGCAGGGATAAGGGACCCCTGACCCAAATTTCTACTTCCATCAACATCCACAGCTCTGACCATCACTCGAGTAGCACATCCGTGTTGGGCAAGGCGAATCCGATACCCTTTCTAATTGTCCTTGCACTATTTCACCAGACAACGAGAGAAACAAAAAGTACGGACTGAGAGACAATTTCTGAGTTTTTGATTTGAAAATGTAAGGTGGCAGGCAAAATACAGATGTACCATCCCTAATTTTCAATATAAGAGTTAATTGACTAATTTGAGTAGATTAAAAAATTTGTTAAATTAGTTATTATAATAAATAAGTACTATCTTCTTTAAATACCCTTATTAACCAAGTGTATTAACTTTAATATTTAATATTTGATGAAATATTTAACATGTGTAACTATTACAATAATTACTTTGAAAAAAAATAAAAAGATATAAAAGATAAAATAAATTAGGATCTTATGTTTAGAATCAAATTAAAAGTTAAACTATTTTTATATTAAGAATTAGGAGGGCTAATATATTGCCATGAAAATAAAACCCATTTCAAGCGGAAGAACCGAAGGGGGTTTCCAGAGTTCAACATGTGATCGAGCTCTTCCTGGCAAAAGGAGAGGCATTATATCCGGGCTTCGAGCTGCCCGTTTATAATTGGGCTCCTAAAACCTCCCAACCTCAGTGCATTTCATTTTTTGGAAAAAAAATGATCTTTTTTTTTTTTTGGAATAACAAGACTAAAAAAAGGGGGAAAAAAAAAAGTTCTATTATTTGAGCGCATCAGCAAACCTCACCTAGAAGCACGAAAAGCCCGCACCGGGGGGGAAAAAACGCAAATTAGTAACTATTCTCTCTCCCTCTGCATGATCCGATGAATTCTGAGCTTCAACCACCTGAAAGATCGTGGAAGAGAAAAAATCAGTTTGGAACCAAATGTACTCTGCTTGCCAGCAACAAATGATCCAGATAGGCTCTACAAGTATAATCTCTTGGTTCATTCTGGCGATGATCATGCTATACATCCTCTACTCCTCCAACCTCGTCCTCTTTCAGAATGAGCATCGAGATTGTTCCCCACATTTAGATGACGCCTCCACGAAACACTTTCATCTGACTAACACATCCTCAGCTACCATTAACGACCAAGAGAAAGCTGGCAGAGGCGAAGAAACAAAAGAAAAGAACCTTACAGTTAGATCACCGCCCCCTCTGTTATCTAAAAGGCAGGACACCGAACTCAAACACATTGTGTTTGGGATAGCAGCTTCATCCAAATTGTGGGATACCAGAAAGGAATACATAAAGATATGGTGGAAGCCTAACGTAACCAGAGGGATAGTCTGGTTGGATGGAAAAGTAAGTACTAAAAGTGACGAGGGGCTGCCCCAGATTCGAATTTCTGGAGACACCTCAAATTTCAAATATACGAACCCTCAGGGGGATAGATCTGCACTGAGGATTTCAAGGGTAGTAACCGAGACATTCAAGCTTGGGATGAAGGATGTGAGGTGGTTCGTGATGGGAGACGATGACACAGTGTTTGTGGTAAATAATGTAGTCAGAATTCTTTCCAAGTACGATCACAGACACTTCTACTATATTGGGAGCTCATCAGAGAGTCATGCTCAGAATATATACTTCTCTTATTCCATGGCATATGGTGGAGGAGGATTCGCTATAAGCTATCCATTGGCCAAGGAGTTGGCCAACGTACAGGATCGTTGCATTCAGCGATACCCGGGTTTATATGGCAGCGATGACCGAATTCAAGCTTGCATGGCTGAGATAGGTGTGCCGCTAACCAAGGAACTTGGGTTTCATCAGGTAACACTAATTAATATTATTGGATGGAAATGGTCAGTGGTTTTGCTTCTTACTTGTTTATGTCTTGGTTGTGCAGTATGATGTGCACGGAAACCTATTAGGCCTCCTGGGGGCACATCCCGTGACCCCACTAGTGACAATGCACCACCTTGATGTTGTGGAACCCATATTCCCCCGAATGAACAGAGTACAAGGCCTCAGACACCTGATGCAATCCATCAAGATGGACTCGTCCAGCATAATGCAGCAATCAATCTGCTACGACAGAAGCAGATACTGGTCCATCTCTGTATCGTGGGGCTACGTGGTTCAAGTCCTCAAGGGAGTATTGTCCCCAAGAGAATTAGAGATGCCCTCGAGAACCTTTCTCAATTGGTTCAAAAAAGCTGATTACAACGGATACTCCTTCAACACGAGGCCTGTTTCCCATTACCGCTGTCGAAAACCCTTCATTTTCTACATAAACACGTCTCGATACGATCGAGCCAGTAAACAAATTGTTGGGACATATACTCGTGAGAAATCTAGACTTCCTTTTTGCCAGGGGGAAATGGAAACTCCGGAAAAAATCAACTCCATTGTTGTTTTAAAGCAACCAGATCCTTTTCGTTGGCAAAAGGTACGGATTCTCAATGATTCAAATGAGATAAAATGATTTACAATAACGTAGATACATTTCTGTCCATATTTAATAAACTTCCTTTGCAGTCGCCAAGGAGGGACTGTTGTAGAGTTCTGCCATCACATCGAAGATCAACCATGTACATATGGGTGGGCAATTGTCGAGATGGTGAAGTGGCTGAATTGTAGCATGGAAAGGTACATATAGTTCATTATTCAAGGCGTATAGATAAAGAAATAGCTTCTAGTCATTTTCCTAAATCCTAAGATTACGATTGCATCAGAAGGTCCACGAAACACAAATTGAGATATTGTTACTGACCATGAAATACAAGCTACAATTTTGCCGTCCAGTGCATATTGTTTTCCATTTCCGCCATGTAAATTCAAAAAGGCATGTCAGTAGTGATAGTTCGTTTTGGCATGTATTCTACATAACAAGTTCAACCAGGGCAACAGAACCAAAATATGGTTCTTGCAAAGAAACATAGGTTCAGCTAATTTTGCTGTCTTGTCCAATAGAGCATCTCAAACTTATCGGAGATGAATTGACACAAAGTTCGGTAAAACTTCAAACCCTGACACCTTATTCATTGGAAGAAAATGATGTTTCAATTAGGCGAGCTCACCAAATGCAAGGAAGTTTCATTGTGGTGTGACAGATTTTGAGCAAGTGACAAGATTGGTGGTGCGGACACCACTAATATGGTGAGATCAGCATGTGTAGTGTTAGGCAGCGGTGCATGAATCTGATGTATGACTGTAGTTCTACCATCTCTAACCGTCACATTCACTGTTTTCAAAAGTCCAAACAATTTATAGAGAAGACTTTGTTAGAAAATTGAAGAAAATTCCGAATGAACAGTAATTTTATGATAAACAAATAGCCCAAGGGCTACTAAGCCTATTTAATGACCACAGAAGTGGCAAAAGTACTTGTTCGATCGAACAACCGAGATTTACACTAGGAATAACAGCGAAGAATGGAATGAAAGTTGATTATCTTGTAGAAAACTATTAGCAATCAGCAACTATAATTTATTTGAATACAAGGTACACGCTTGAAAGATGATAGAACAGTAGATTAGAACAAGTCAGAATACGAAGAAAGTAAAACAATATGAGGATAACAAGCACAGTTGTGTTGAAATTTATACCTGGAAAATAATTGAACCAAAGCAGGAAAAGGCAAAGCAGCAGAATCAAAGGAATAGCGTGAAGCCATTTCTCTGCCGATCGTGATAAGGAAACCTTTCTCTTTCCATTGGTGCTTCGCGTATCGTAAAGTGGAGGGCCGGACGTATCATCACCGTCTGTTTTTCCTCGCTTTGTTTGTGAAGGATCGCCGAGATTGACGGCTCTGTGCTCGCCAGAGCCGCGAGAACTCGCATTTGAGGTCCTTTGCTGCATCTGAATGTTATCGCCCTCACACAGATTCAGAAGAAGAAGAGAGTGAGTGTTGGCGTTTTGCAATGATAAAATGGAAGAAAACTGTGTCAGTTAATAATTCCAAGGCTTGGGGGTTCCCTGCTCGTTTAGTTAATCAGCAAACTTTCGGGCGGGAAATTGGTTAAGCGGGCAACGCATGTGGATGGCCAAAGCGCCGAGGTAATTATCCGCCTGCCACTGGCCTTGATATTACACACTCACCAGCAGGGTGTATAAAATATATGTAGGTGGCATTTGATAATTGTACTATCCACGTGTCATTAAGCAGATGAAAAATAAAAAGAGACCGCACTTATTTTATATGGAAATATAGCAATACACGTGACGTGATCTCTGTTAGTTAGCGCCGTTCTCAGAGGGGTAGTTTATGGATGTGTACGGACCTCAGTTTCTCATCCCAGTAACTGTCATTTTTATCCATTCTCTGCTAAACTGTCCTCCTTCCATTTTTGGGGGAGAGAAACTCAGAGCCTTCGTAAGCAGGGGCGTATAGAGTTATGAATTTAGGAGTGGCCGTTTCTCTATCTAAATTTTATATGCATATAATAATTTCAATATAATTGCTGAACTCAAACACGGGATAAAGACAATCATCGGTGCGGCAACTTGTGTAACGAGGTCTAGATCATTGTTAAAGCATGAGTAAGTTCAAGATGTGGGCTGGAAGAAGTCATTTATTATGACTGAGGCTGAATTCTCATAATAAATGGGCAAAAGGAAAAAATCCTACGAAGAGGCTTCTTAATACAAGGAAGGCAGCTCACATGTACACCCAGAGGAAATATCAGAAAATTTTCTTTTTATATATATATATAAAAAATAGAACAAAAGATTGTAAAAGCGCCTTGTTATCTTCTGTGAAGCAAAAATTGATAGCAAGGCACACTGACATATGAACAAGCACAAATATTCTTAATCTGATGATCTGTCCGAGGAAGAACCATTACGAGCAAGATGTGTTTGATCGTCATCCCTTCTTCTGGAGTTGTGTACTTGATGATGAGTTCGGGGATCATATCTCTGGGAGGCAAGGTAGTTTAATGCGGTAACCACGTCGGTTATCACAGGCCGCATATTAGGCTGCTCTTGAACACACATGGCAGCAATAGCCAGAGCTTGGTACAAACCTCTCACGGGATACTGGCCTTCCAGCAATGGGTCTACCATTTGGGAGAATTTTCTCCTGTCTTTGAACAACGGCCTTGCCTGCAAACACCACATAAAACCCAAGTTACTTATTTTTTTCTCAATTCACATAACTTTTTTCAGAAGCACACAAAAATGAACATAACTGTGTTCTAAGCGTATGTAAAGAAAAATTGCATTCCATGAAGAACAGGAGTTTAAAAAATTCTTGAAAAATATGTCTGTGTTGTGCACAATCCAAGATATACACCAGAACCATCCAAGCTCCACATTGACAGTTAGGTTTCGTTTCACATAGGTGAGATAACAACAGAAGGAAAATATGCAAATGAAACGTTCAACCAGAACATGTGGTATTCAAGAGCAAACAAATGAATAAATTGACACACGAATGGGATTCTCAGTAATTTTGCAGGGGTATTTTCTTTTTTTGAGGCCCATGGCAGGGAGGGAGAAGTTAATAGAAAGCGCCAATTTCCTTATGGAAAATTAATGAGCAGATAATTCATAATTCAGTCAGCAAGTTTCAGAAAATTGTCTGTCTCAGGCGTTTCACATCAGACCATCGGAGGACCAAAAAAAAAAAATCAAAGATGCAACCAATAAATAGTTAAGTAGGCTATCTTCTCTGAAATTTTTGAGGAGTGCAAGCACATATAAAGCCTCCACCTTTGGTTCTTTCAACTGAATGCCAACTATGGTTCTAGTTCTTAGCATAACCCGGGCAAAATGTAAGGTAATATGAAAAAACTGATGCCCAATCAAAACTAGTGCCACAGATTTATGAGCATTTGCACTTGCAGTTCTATTTCTTTACCACAAGATAATAAGAAAGGAAATATCTGCAAAAGTAAATCAACTAACATGGACTTCAGTGGTAACCCTGAATAAGCAAGCATTGACATACCCATGCAACCAGATTTTGTTCTTTGGCAGGTCTAGCGTTATCAATGGCTTTCCTGCCTGTGATGAGCTCCAAAAGAACAACGCCAAAGCTGTAGATGTCTGACTTGAACGTCAACTGACCCGTCATTGCATAATCTGGAGCACAGTAACCATACGTGCCCATAACCCTTGTTGAAACATGTGTCTTATCGCCGCTTGGGCCTACTTTGGCCAAACCAAAATCAGATAACTTGGGATGATATCCTTCACCTAATAAGATGTTTGAGCATTTCAAATCACGGTATATGACCGGGGGCTTCATTTTCTCATGTAAATACTCCAAGCCCTTTGCAGCTCCGGCTGCTATTTGCATTCTCGTGTTCCAGTCAAGTGGTTTTCTACCGGGTGGAAGATCTGAGGTGGAATGGGGGATATCAATAAGCAATGCAATGGTGATTTTAAAAAAGAAAACTTGCTGAGTGTAGATTCTATCTGAAGAAAAATGAGATATTAGGATCATAGTATATACCATGCAAGTGGTTCTCCAAAGATCCTAATGGCATGTACTCATAGACCAATAGTCTCTGATCTCCATCAGCACAAAACCCAATCAATTTCACAAGATTAGGGTGGTCTGCTTGACCAAGTGTCAAAACCTCAACAACAAATTCCCGAATTCCTTGAAGTCCATTAGGGTCAAGTTGCTTTATAGCCACAACCTGCATTAAAAATAACAAATCTTAATCGCATTGCAACTCGACAGAAACCTTAGATATGCACAGTAACGTGATGCACAAGAGCACAAAACACAATATATTAGAACGGCTGGACCAGATTAATATTTCACTGATAAGTTTTGTTCAATCCCAAACCAACCTGGTCTATTCTCTGCAAATGCCCCTTGTAAACCTTGCCAAACCCTCCTTCTCCCAAAAAGCAATCCGACCTAAAATTTCCTGTTGCCGCTGCAAGTTCATCAAAAGTAAAAGTCTGAGCCGTGCTACCACTAGTGTCTCCATTGTCCGATAAATTTAATCTCTTCACATCCTGAGAAAGTTGATCACCCTTAGAATGAGCTTCCTTCGTCACATTCACATTCAAATCAACTTTCACCGTATCTGTAAGAAATGCAAAAATGCGCCCAAGGTAAAGGGATCCGACGAGACACTAGGCGTCCAAGTTAATGCAACTTATCAAAAAGGAAATGACTTGTATTCGAGATGACTGGAGAACCCACAACCATCAAAATTTAAAAGTAAACAAAGTGCAAAAAGACAAGCCCGACTTTCGATTACCCTTTGAGTATTTTCAAAAACGCAAGCGACCGAGAGAAAGAAGAATGAAGCATGGCCTATATGAATACTTCGAAATAGACAATAGATGTCAAAATTTATCCGATGACTTCTGAGAAAGATTAGGAATATCAGAGGAGAACGTTAACACCGACCACCACGATTAATCTTGATACTGAACATAAATTACATAAAAACCAAGTTCACAATTTTCTTTCCGTTTCCAAAGAAAACTGTTTTTTTTTTTTTCCTGGGAAACATTCCACCAAAATAAAACAAAGGAGGTGCACTTGATTTTCATACCCAGAAAAAAGGACTGAGAGAGATGGCATACGACGAGCCGGGAAGAATGAACATTGATGAGTTCAGGACATAGCCATGTCTAGAATCTTTGGAAAAAGAAAAAGGTAGATTACTCAGAAAACAAGAAAAAATAAAGATCACCATGATCACAGAGAATGGGTAATCAGTTTGTTCAGTCGATTAGCCAAATGCGTGTTATCTGAACATTCAAGTAAATTAAATCAAGATCATCGAAAAAATTAACCAGCACCTGTGTGATTGTTGGGCTTTGCGCTCTGGCTATAGTCGTTGGCCTGCGATTTTCTGCTTGATTTCTTTGCAAAACAAAAGCAACCCATAATCCCTCTCAGTCTAAGGCGCGCCAAGAAAACGAAGCCTAGAACAGAGACCAGAGCATGAAAATACAGGCAATCGAGTGTCAAAGACTTGGAAGGAAAGAGAGGGCAGAAACAGCAGGGGAGAGAGAGGGGGCACTTCTGAAGTTTTGGGCGATGTTCCTGGTGCTTTAATGTTTTCAGGGTTTACATGAGATGAGCATGAATTGTAATAAAAATTTTTATACTCGCTAATAAAGAGACGCCACGAAAAAGAGATTGGAGTTTTCTGTCATTTCCATAATACGAGGGGCATAATCAGCTCCGGAGTTGGTTGAATGCGCCAAGCCCTTTTAGTTTAATATCATCGGCTCACGGACTCTTTCGGCTCTACGCTGAGCTGCCTTCTACTCGTTTTATCAGACATTGCTACGCTGACGTGGCGCAAGGCAGCTGCTGTTCATCGATTTGGTGCGAGCTGGTGTGCATCGCAACTGCAATGGATCTTTGTCTTTCGTAGAAGGTATAGTCCGCCGGTGGCGTACAGATCACACCAACGCGCTCTTCTGAACCGTCCGATCTCCTTCCCATGAAATGGCAAGAAAGGTCAACGTCTCGAACCATTCACTAGGGCCCACGCGATGACGCCGAAAGTGGGGCCCACCTTGCCTACGCGCATCGCACTTCCACATCGGCCCCCTAACGGAACGATTGGAGCCGAACGCGTTCCAGCTCGGCGGCCTTGACGGCGCCGTCACCGGTGAGAACTGCCAACAAATTAATTAACGTTAGGCGGTTTCAGATGAATTCGGCCATACCGGATCACTGGTTCCGTTTTCAACTTACCGAGTAGTACTGGCATGTTTACTTTGCCTTCTGTTGAACGCGTTTGTCATAAATAGGGGGTATTTTTTTTCAGTAGTAGTTGAATTCTTAAAATTAACCATAAATGCTCATCCTAACAGAAGATAAGAAAAATTAGGTTATAAAGTTAAATGTAGATATTTCCAACAACATTATATTTGCATGTTAAATAAAAAAATTTAAACTTGCAAGTTAAAATTTTATAATTGTCAGTCGAGTTGTGATATTTATAAATCTTCTTGTCTCTAAACTCAGTTGGTGATTATAAAAAGATCCGTGACTATAAATTACGGGTAACTTTGAGAGGATTAAATTATAACTAATCCTTTAAGTATAAACCAATAGGAGTCAGTAAATAAAATTCTTCGATTTTACACAACATATAAGGGGAATATTTTATGTTTTTGCATGCCTGTGCGCAGGGGATCATTCAGCCTGGGGATGAATGAAAACCTGTAACCTATGGTGGAACATAAATTTATTAAATGAGGCCGACCAACTTAATTAAAATTGGTAGATTTGACTGCCAACTAACTTAGAAGATATTCATAAAGTATTGGAAAGAGCTGATGAATTAACTTGTCACCTGTATTCTTTACCAAAAATAAAATTGTCGCCGGTATTGCCCAGCTGTGGATGAAACAATATTTACATTGTTTGATAAATATTAAAAGCAAAACACATGGTTATTGCCAAGATGCTTAATATTTTATATTCGTACCTATAAATAAATGACGTTTATTTATAATTTATTTTGTTCTATTTTTAATATCTCATCTTCTTATTATTTTGTTGCCATGATTCTTAATTTTATCTTCGTGCCTGCCAAATTTGTTTAAGCACCATGTATAATTAAAGCACGGCGCGCGCTGGCCGGAATCATGTTGAGCAGGAATGTAAGGTGGGACACTGAAAATGTTTCATTTGATATTTGACTTTGGCTCCTATTTTAAATTCTTCTCCCACCTAATTAATTTTTAAAAAAAATCTGCCACTAATTAATTCTCTCTCACAAACACGTACACAAACAGACAGGCGTGAGCAGTGATCGGCCGCGTACGTATGTAGAAGAAGATTTACGTATAAGAAATTCCGAGAAGTGGCATCATTTTACTTATTTTTGCAATTCAATTTGGATTCCTCCTCCTTCTCATCATTATATCTACCCCTTTTTCCCTTTGGCTATGTTAATTACTTCTTTATTTGTAACATGTTTCAATAATTGTTCAATCCCCGCCATTTAACCCTGTGTGTTATCTCCAAACAAATTACTCTTTCGATCCTAAATATAAGATATTTTTTGTACTATATATAAGGATCTTATACTTAGGACCAAAGGAGTATTATTTATTATGCATTTTTTATTTTTCCCATTCTCGAGTAGGAAGAGAAAGAGGCATTCGAAATAACTTCTTAATTACTTCATCCTTAAATCCCCGGAAGAGTTCCATAGAAAACAAGGTATTTAATTAATTATATTTTCTGAAAGAAAACAAAGCTCTTTAAATTATTACACTAAAAATCTACGCCCGCGTAAAAACATGAATATCAATATATCTTCAGAA